GTTTTGAAGATAGCAGTGCATGATGCTCAAGCACCGGTGCCCCTTGTTTGCATTGTGACCTGCCTCAAGAGTCCTGGAATGAGCAAAAGCAGTGAGTTCTGTGGTCCACTGTTTCTAGCAAAAATTGCAAAAGGAAGCTACTTTAATGGCAATGGTCTGTTTCTACTATAACTTGCCTCCATTACAGGATAGCTGAGGCTGTGGGCATTTTTGGAAATCGGTTATGGGGAATTTCTGGGTTATTTAGCCTGTGTTTAGTAATACTAAATATTAAAGTGCCTTTGTAGTCACTTTCATATATAGCTAAATTACTGTCAGCCATCCTGGTATAGACATTCTGATAAGAATCTTACTACCCAACTGACAGTTATAACACAAAGATGTATGCCCAGAGGTCATATTGTGATATAAGCATGTGTTTATGATTTTATATCTGTTTTTTAAAGTAGGACCCTAAGCCATGTAAACTTTATGACCTACAAACTAGGATCTTCACCTGGAGCAATGGTGGACAATAAACTATTATTAAAATTTTTAGCCCCATGGAAGATGAAGGTCTGAACCAAGGCAATGGTAGCAGAAGTGGAGGGAAAGATTCAGGAGACCAAAATCATGCTGGGAGTGAAATCTAGGCAACTTGGCAATCATTTTGATAGGAGGTGAGTTTCATATATGGGTTATCGATTCAGGTAATGGGGAGGATGGGAAGCCCATTTACGGAAAGAGCTTTCTGTAAATTATGGGAATTGCAAGTCTGAGTGTTTTAGGTGTCAGACAAGTAGAGGAAAAGGCTGGTGTGCAGCCCAGCTAAACACCCTGGTGTTTGGGGGATATTATTTGCTCTATTGCTGTATTTCCCACTTTCGGGAGACAACTTTTCACGTTTTTTGTATTTCTGTTTTGTTTTTTTTTTTGCCCTGGCTTTCCTGTTCTCTGTCCCAGGAACAGCAGCCACTTCCTCACGGCAGTGCTAGCCCTCCCTCACGGGATGTGGGGGCAGCCCTTCTACCTCCAAGGTGCACGCTGGAAGAGCACAGGCGCTGGGCACAAGCACCAGGCACGGGTTTTCAGCCGAGTCTAACATTTGTCCACAGTGGGAGCTCATGTTTGCGCCTGTGTTGCTTTCAGCAGTGTATTTTTCCTCATAAAGAGAGAGTTCTCATCCCACTCAATCCCCCAAACCTCCAGTGTCCCTGCAGGAAGTCAATGCACCCTCCAGAGTTTTGTAAGTCTTCAGGCACCCAGGCAGAGGCGCTAATGAGGATGAGTCAGCACTGAAATCCCAGCTGGTAAACACAGGCCTCATTACCTTGTGGGGATTTGCACGGAGCTCAGGAAAGTGGGTGAGCTGAGCTTAAAGTATGCGCTGACGTTTTGGTTCCTATGTATGAACCAGAAATCAAGAGGGAAAACTCTCAGTGATTAAGATACCAATTTCTTCAGCCAGTTTTCTCAGGGAAGAGTCTTTGTAGCCTCCTGGAATCCCAAATTAGCTATGTCCCTGAACTAGCTGGTAGAGTTCAGGATTTCTACTGTCTTGCAACCACACTCTTCAGTGTAGCAGGATAGTTGAAGAAAGCTTGACCTCATTATTACTGATTGTGGAACAAATAGAAATGCTTAGTTTTATTAGTTTAGTACTTACAAATGCTTTCTAAATATGATGTTAACAGAATACTAAAATGTTGTGGACAATAGTAGTCTAGCAGGAAATTTGTCACTGAAGAGGCCCGATAACTTAAGTGTGTGAGTACCAACTTGCAGTAATAATACCTGGAATGTTAACTGAGTTAGAAATCTCACCTCTGTGAGTCTTATCCTAACTACCCTTTTAAAAAAGAATGTGACCTACCCTTCTTTTATTACGTCTTTTAAATTTACTTTTTTCTCCCTAGCACTTTTTACTACGTGATATATGGCATAATTTATGTATTTTATATAGCTTATTATTTTTCTATCCCACACTGACTCATGCACAGGCTCACAATGTCCGAGTTATTATGGATGAGATAAGATACATTCACATGGTACCAAGTCCTGTGGAGGAAAAGGGACGGCATGGCTACTCCCTCAAGGGGGGAGCACCTTGGAGCAGCCTGGCCACTCTCTCAAGGGGAGAGCGCTGGCACCCTTGCCTAGACAGGCTTTTATTTATTTATTTATTTATTTATTTATTTATTTATTTATTTATTTTTGCGCAGGAGTACAGGTACAACTTATTAATCATTGTCAGGCAGTAAGGATCAAATGATAGATAGGATACAAAGAATTATTAGGGCTTCTGAGTCAGTGTCTATCAGCTAAAAAACTACAAAACTTTGGGAAACAAACTCATTTCCTGCTTGGGCCTTTATTATTTAATTAAGAGCATTCTTAGCAAAGCAGGCTTCACAGGATTTTACATATCCTTTCTCAGGCCTGATCACCTGGGGAGCTTGCCCTTTCCAGCACAGGGCTGCACTGCCCTCTGTCATTGGTTCAGGCTTAAGTTAGGCAGAGAAGGCAAGACAGCCAAGAAATTAGGAGACTTCTCAAAGACAGAATGAGGACTCAGGCTTTGTCAAAGCCGAGGGGCCAGGGTCCATCACCCCCTTTCTCCATAGCCCCCAAGTCCTTCCCTAGGGCATCCACATGATCATGCCTGTCTTAGGTGGTTCCCCCTTAGGGAATCTTACCCGTCATTAGCTAACTGATCAAGCATTGGGGGCCAGTTATGGATGAAGGATCAGAAGGGGTACTCCTGCCAGGGAGATAAGCTTTGTCTCCTTAGTGGCTTATGGTCCAAAGATCGCTCACTCAGCCTTAGCCATGGGGGCGGTGGTTACCACTCCTGAAACCAGGCAAGGTGATTCCGAACACCACACTAGAGTTAAATTCAAGGAAGGCGGGACTTTTTTTGCCCTGCATATTAATGTATTTTAGAGGCCCAAAACAATTTTGGCTCATAGTAGGCAGTAAATAAATACTTATTTAATTAATAAAAGAATAAATATTATTTTCTAAAGAGCATAAAGTAGAGCCTTAATGGGCTTGAATGATTGTTCTAAACTATGGAGAACATAGTTCTATTGAAAGTTCTTGTAGTGAAGGTGGTCAACAAGTCAACAAATGTTTATTGAAGCCCTGCTATACCCCCAGTTCCCCAAATTTAGAATCCTATCTCTATTAAACATACTGATATTTTAAAAACTGTATTATACCTTTTGGTGTTACTTGGGGGCAGGGCCTATTTGTTCACCTACATAGCATCTATTACAGTGATATGTATATACCAGACAATAAATATTTGTTGAAAGAGTAAAGGAATGAACTGGGTAAGGGATTAAGTTAATTTGTAATCCAGTTATTTTTCAAACATTTGTTTTGTGAAATTATGGTCTCTAATAATAGTACTTGCAAACTGCTGCCTATTTCTCTGAAGGATTTGTACGTTTTCTCTGATCGATTTTTGGTTTTCATTCCAGTGTTCACCTGAAAAATTAACTTACACATATTGGGTCATCTGGATCACCACATACTGACTGAAAGTTTTGGTGTTCCTGTTTACTTTCTTTCTCTTTTTAGCATGTTAACACTACATAGTATGATACTTTGTCATAGGTTAATAATGCTGCCTAAAAAAGTAAATGATTTATTCACCTGAAATGAAGCCAAAAAGACATTAAGCTACTCTCTTGGAAGAATTCACAGTAGTTTAGGAGACAAGAAACAAAAAAAATGAGTCATAACATGTGGTAAAATAGGCTTGCTTGAACTAGCAGTCAGTATGAAATTCCTGTTCTGACAGGTGATTTAGGTTGATGAAACATAATCACTGGTGTTTATAAATCAGTATTATTACATTAAATTTTGTTGGCTTTATAGCTTTGTTGGCATTTATTTTATAATTTGTGCAGGGGTTTTGTAGTTATGAGAGCTATGATATAAAGATTTTAAGCCTACCTTTATGTTTGTACATATTTAATAATATTGTAATGAAAATAGTTTAATTTGGGGGTGTGGGACCTTGAAAATGTATTTTTTCTTACTTTTAATGGGTTTTAGTGGGGTGTTTATATTTTACTCAAGTTTGTGAAAAATGACAGCAAAGGTGAAGAAGCTTCAGGGCCCAGGACACAGCATATTGATTTCATTCAAGTCCAGATGCAATATGAGTGCAGGACAGATATTTCTGCTGCATCTGCTCCTAGTGGTTCTGGTGGTGGTGAAAAATAGGAGAGAGGGACCCTAGGAAATGTAGGGAGATTGACTGGAGAAAAATGGAGGGATTTTAGATAAAGTTGTGGCTTTCTTTGATTTGTGCTTTTGGCTCCAAATTTGTGAGTTCTCTTTCTTAGTGACTTTTCTTAAATGGCTAAGTGAAATGCACTGTTTTGTCTCCTGATTTAAAAGAAAAATGTGAATTGGCATCTCTATAGGTGATGCAAAACTCTGGTGTGTAACACTGGGAGACCTAAAGAGCTATTTAAACTTATCACTATAGAAAATCAGAGGAAAGAGGTGCATATTGTCTGATATTCTGCCTTCTGATATCCACCTCCAAATTTCTCCAACCTGGGTCTTCAGTGGGAAGTAGGAATAGAAAAAGAAATAATATGAGGACTTCATTTTTGTTTACTTTATAAAGGGATACTGGGAGCAGGTGTTATTTCAGGGTCAACTTTGCTGTCATGTCCAAAGAAATACTGTCTGGGTTCATTTAATCAACAAATAGTTATTAGCACCTACTAAGTGACAGGCATTATATGGGAGAGAGGGGCTGAAGACAAGGAGCAATAGAGAATTGCTGCCTTTGGAATTTAATAAAACTAATACTATTATTTCTGCCCTATTGTGTCTTTATCTTCACTTGGTATACTTTAGTTGAATATGAGTGGGCAGTTTGAAAATTTTTAGTGCATTCTTTATGCTGATTTGTCTGATTTCCAGGATAGAATACAGAGTTAGAAATTATGAAGGCTCAGATTAATTTGTTCTTTTTATCTTTCTGTGCTTTTAAGGGGTGTCATGAAAGTGGACATAAGTCTTCAGAAAGTGGACATTGACCAGTGTTCGAGTGATGGCTGGTTTTCAGGAACTCACAAATGCCACCTTAACAATTCGGAGGTAAGAACACAAAAATAAAGCCCTCTGACATCAGAAGCTCAGAAATGTACTACTTATGATTTACTATATTTGTGTGGGTAAGTAAACATGAAGCATCTTACTGGAAAAAAGTCTCTTATGCAGGTCTGAATGTTGCCAAATGAACTGAAAAAAGAGTAGGAAATTAAATTTGTGCAAATAACTGTTCATTTGGAGGCTAAGAGAAGGCAGAAACTAAAATCATGTCGGGAAGTTTGGTGTGATTCAAAGGTTAACCCTATTCTTGAAAAGAGGCTGGAAATGAAAATAGCAATGAAGTAAAAAACCAATCCTGGATTGGGCAACCTGCTTATGCATATTTTAACAGAAGAGGATGCTTATTGAAACCTTGATGCTACTCATTCAAACACACTGCCATCTTTTAGAAAAGCAAGGGAGAGAGTATGGCAGGAAAATACTGAAAACAAGGAGAAAACTCAATACAGGGGACTATAAAGGAAATGTGTATATTTGTGTGTGTATTTCAAATTTTTAGTTTCTATCTATGCCTTCTTTCATGGGATTATGGTCAGTTAGGGACAGGCACAGAGGTTATACATCTGGAAATAAGGCTCACTTTTCTGTTCTAGTTTCAGACAGAAAATGTGATGACATCCTTATTTCATTTTCAGTAATCTATTTCTGAGGTCCCAAAACCTGAAGAAAAAATGTACAACAAAGTTCCTGATCTTAAATACTTGGGCTCTCCCAACTGTAAGTTCATGAATTTGTGAGGAAAGTTAGCTTGATTTATTTAAAATAGAGGGAATATTTCCTTAACTGCAGTAATCTACATCTTTATTTTTTGCCCATTGTGAAAGATGGTTGTACAGTTTTAAGGTAAGGAATGTTAAATCAAAGGAAAATTAACAATAAACCCTTATTTGTGCCAGTACACAAATAAAAACAGTGCACAGACATGTACACAGCTATGCATGCATGTACATGTACCCACTGCATGTTTTCCTTTTGCATCCCCCACATGTCCTGCATACTTTCATACCACCACCACTTCTCAAATGCTCTTCAGCTGTTCCCCACATTCCCCGCTACACTCTACATACACCTCCACCTGCCCCCATACTCCCTACCACAATATCCCTCAACCTTTCCACCCTAGATCCCCTAATCCCCCATAATTCTCCACATACCTCTAAATTCATCACACATTCTCATCATATCCCCATGACCCCACATCCTCAATACCCTGTGCACATTCCTACACGTGCCCACATCCTCTCCCACATCTCTACATGCCTCCACATGGCCCTCGTTTTCTTTACTCCCCCTAAGTGGGACTCAATCATGCAAGGAAATGTTTCTGTCATGTCAACTCAGTCAAGATCCTCTCTTCACCTTCTTTCTCTACTTATTCCTATAGCTTTGAACATTTCTGAGTATCCACTTCCCTTTGGATGATTCTGGCATTTCTAAAGATATGAATTTCAGTCACTGATCTGGTGAATATCATTAGCCTGATTATTATCTCCATGCGAGTGATATATAGCCACTTAGCTTTCTCTTTTAGTCAGCGTGGAATTTTTTCTGCATGACTGTCATCTCTATGTGCTTATTTCTGTATAGCCTTTTTCAGTGGTATTCCTGGGTGGTTCAATAAGCAGTCTATTTAGAAGCGAAGGGGTATTTCTTCTTTAGTTTGTTACAGTTGCTGCTTGCTTCTGATAATCTTGGAGTAGTTTTTGTTTCTTTATAGTACACCTATTTATTTGACTAGATAGTCATGTTGAAAGAACCTTTTTGTCCTTTTGAAAGATTATTTTTATTGCATCAGTATTACTAACTTTCTGGGCATTGTTTCTTTTTAAAGCTTTCAAATAAACAAAGTTATTTCAAGATAAAATATTATCCTCCATCCCAGTTAACAAAGATTAGGTTGAAATGTTTAACTTTGGGGATTACATGTGAGAGTGTTATATAATTTTTTAACCTTATAGGAAAAACTAGAAAATCATATCGTACAAGACAACTCACAGTTCAGTGACTCTTGTTTTAAAATGTGATAGAAAGAGGTCCAGTGGTCAAAAATAATATCATCAAACACTGAAATGTCTGTAAGACACACACATTCTGGATCCCTCTACCTGCTTCACCTGTCCAGATACTGGAGTTGGGAGTAGGAGATCTTGGTGTCCTGGGCTGAGCCCTCGAGGCCCTTGGTACTTAGTCTGACTCACACAGGGCCGTCAGACAATTCTTCACACTTTTTGGTTGGGCTTCTCTAAGGTCCTGTAGTTGGTGCTGGTTACTCAGGGCACCTGCAACAGTTCATACCATATCCTTAGTTTCGTGACCAGCAATAGTCTTTCAACTCCCTCCCTGTACTGGAGCAAGTTGGAGACTAGGAACTGGCTTCTCTTGAAGGTTTCATTGCTCTGGAAAACAGAAAGAAAAATCTCTTCTTCAGGTTATTTTTCACCTGTACTGGCTCTCCTTTGTTTCTTGTCACAAATCTATTATAGACCCTAAGAGTCACTGTGTAAATTGGTTTATTTTGGGAAGTAATTGACCTGAGTCATATTTATGGGGTGTAGAGGCCAGCCTTTGAGAACATCCATATCATTAGAAACAGAGACAGTCATCCTGTACACTGTGGGTTTTATCTTGCCAATGCTTAACATTCTTATCTTGTTAGAGGATGGCCTCTAGTTAAAGGGTAGAGGACGTTATCGATTTTAAGGTTGTAACTGAGGCAAACTTTTCACTTAAAAATTTTTCCAGTGTGTTGATTTTCAGCCTCCAAGGTGTCTTAAACCAGAATAGCAAGTCTGATGTTGGGAGCAAGTGGTATATGACCAATGACAAAAGCCTTAGGAGTATTTTTAAAAGGCATGGAATGGTTTGTAAGCAAAATAATTACTTAGTGGGTATGGATCATTATAGAGTCTCTGAGGCCACTAAGTATTTTTTGAAGGGCACAGGAAAACAAAATCTGAATCAACAACCTGACCTGGATTGCAGGATTCTTCTGACTGCTTTTATGTAACTGAGGTGGTTCACGGCAGCACGGGCCTGTCATGTTGTCAGTGTCCAACTAAATAATTCTTCACCTGTTTTCATATCCTTGTTTGCTTTGAGTACACAAGTCTTCTCTTATAGAATAGTGTATTTAAAACATTATAATAAATGGATGCCTGTTTTGTTTTAAAAGTATTCTTTTGCTTTGTTTCCATTATAAGAAAAATATTTTAATCATTGTTTGAAGTAGGAAATATAAGGACAAAATCCTTGAAACTTTCTGATTACATTTTATTAGTAAAAATGCTTTATACATCCATCCATAGTATGTGTATGTTTTTACCTACAAATTATATATTCATCTTTTATTATATATTCTATATATTATAAATTAAAAAATGTAATCAGGTTGAAGATAAAGATGAAATAATATTTTAATGTAGATTATATTTGATAAAATAAGTGTATCTTTAATGTGAACAATGCAACTGATTGCAATTTTTGCAAAATTTTTAGTGAGAGTGTTTTGATTGGCTGTACTTCATCATTTTAAAATCTTAGTTTATCCCTGGCTGGTGTAGCTCAGTGGATTGAGTGCAGGCCTGCGAATCAAACTACCATGGTTCTATTCCCAGTCAGGGCACATGCCTGGGTTGCAGGCCAGTGCCCAGCAGGGGACCCACGAGAGGCAACCGTACATTGATATTTCTCTCCCTCTCACCTCCCCTTCCCCTCTACAGATAAATTTTAAAAATCTTTAAAAAAATAAAAAATAAAATCTTAGTTTAATACTTAGTAATGTAGTGATTCAGAAGTCTCTAAGTTCAGTTTATTTTTATACTTAGTTTTCATGTGTGTCATAGTAGAAAAAATCCCTCACAAGTATATGTCATTTCAAATTGAAGAAGTAAGTTGCTGACTGTGTTTGCTAAATCACAGAGCTCATTTTTCAGTTTGATCTACCAATTTTGCAAAGGTTTTTGCAGAAATACAGCTGGTAATTTTTCATCTTATCTGATGTCAATTGGTCCCTGCAAACTAATTGAAAAGCTGAACATTTTAATATTTTAAAGGAAATAAGTTAAAAATTCACTCCAACTTTTACAAGGGATATTTTCAAACAAATTAGGACATTTTATTTCCAGGTTTAAACTATATGGCTATGTGAGTATTTGTAGTTTTTGGCAACAAAACCCACATAGCACTGAAAACACTTCCAAATATCCATTTTCAAAACGTTCACTTCAAAAGGCTTACTCATGGATTATTTAAATGTCACTTTTCCTTCGAAAGAACAGCTTAGATATATTTTTTAAATACCTGCTGTATAAACACTGCTGACAACCACTTGTCATTGCAGGGCAGGTCAGCAAATTGGGAACATTTCTCTTTTTTTTTTGTAAAGAACAATGCATAACTAATCTTTGAGTTTAGACACAAGTAGTTCACTTTGAGATAATCAGAAAATCTTTATGTGGAAAAGATTTTCCAGGTTGCACAGCATCTCATGAAGAATTATAAGTATTTTACAATTTTAAATAATATACTCTATAAATTCACTTAGATGGTCAAGTATAAATTGCAAGAAATTGAAATTTAAAAGCAAATGAAGGAACCAAGTAACTACTATCAGTGTTTTTATCTTGAAGCTCCCCCTTTTCCTTCAGGACACCTCAGGTGCCTTATCAACATTATGGTCATATGACATGTGCACCCACTGAGGGCGTTCTTGGCGATCCAAGTCTTAAGTATTAGTAAAGCTTAATTTACTTATTTTTTTCATAAAAACTTCACTGTAAGTAGAAGTTCTAGTATTTTCTCCTCACTGCCAATTAACTTCCTATGTCTTCTGCTCTGGAGACCACTTCAGGAGGTTATCAGCCTTACTGCTCTGTCTGTAGTCACTGGCATGGCTGGGACATGAGCTCTGCCAATGGTTTTGTGTACTACTCTAAGATGTTTTTCCAATACCTCTTTTTTTTTCTACTGAATATATTGGGTGAGAA